TCGAGGAAACTTTACTTGCTAAACTGGTCAAGCTGATCGCCCGATAGCACCCGCAGTCAAAATGTGAACCTTTACCTTTATATAAAGGCACAATGACTGCGGATCGCCAATCATCCGGGACATCCCCCGTCCGCCAGCACAAATTGCACAGCAGATGAAAGTTGTCCCAGACGCGAGGCCCACCATACTTGACCATTTCAGCAGTAACTCTGTCTAGTCCCGCAGCCTTACCACATTTCAAACTTCGAATCGCACGTTCAATCTCTTTCATACTGATGACCTCAGTGTCATCGAGGTCCGGGTCTGGCGTACCAGTCACGGTGTCATCCCCGGATCCCTCACTAAGATCATCATACGCATACATTTCTCTATAAAATTCGCTCCATCGCTGCATGACGTCCGATTTTTTTGAGAGGACGTCATTAGTTCTCGAAAGCACTTTGTTCATTCTTAAGGCCGTCGCACCACTCCGGGTCCTTCCAACCTCTTTCCAGAAGAGTTTGGAGTTCTCCTTAAAGTTGTGCGACAACCTTTCGTCCGCTTCCATTCTACACCTTTCACGCACTTCCTCAATCAATTCTTTCGTGTGAACTTTCTGCAGCCTATATCTTTCTTTCATCTTCTCTCTCATATCCTTATCATTACTAGAGGCCAAGTAGTCTAACCATGCTTTCTTCTTCTTTTTTACAGCTTCTTTCACTTCATCATTACACCATGCATCTCTTCTTTTACTACTGCCTCTTTTTATTGTTCCACACACTTCTTCCGCTGCACTTACCATTCCATCCCTAAGGTTCTGCCAAGTTCTTTCTACACATTCTTTTCTGCCATCGATGGTGTCAAGCTTTTCGGCTACCCTCGCATGATATTTGTCCCTAGTATCCGCTTCCTGAAGCTTCCAGCTTCGGATGCGACAGACCGACTGTGGTTCTGTTACTGCCGTCCGGTAGCGCCAACCCGCGAACAGACCCCTAAATCTAGTAATCACTAGATAGTGATCCGTTCCCAGGTCAGCACCCCTGAACACTCGCGTATCCATCACCTGTTTTCGCAGTCGGTCATCCACCAGGAACAAATCAATCATACTTCTCTCATTCTTTCGTTCTCTAGTATACATATGGATTTTCTTGTGATTAAACATAGTGTTTGTCACAAGAAGACCCTTTTCCTTGCACACCGCCAGTATAAGCTTGCCAGCATCATTAACCCTTTTATCACCAAACTTGCCAAGTACCGACTCGTACCCTGGTCGAGCGGTACCAACCCATCCATTCAAATCACCACATACAACAATTCTTTCGTTTCCCCTAGCCAAATCTAGAACTTCTCTTACATTCTCCCAAAACTCCTCCAGCTCAGCCCTGGACGACGAAGCTACCGGCGCATAAACAGCCAAAAGGAATAACTTCGTCAGTCCCAATTTAAAGCGAACCCAAAGAAGTCTTGAGTTCACAACCTTATATTCAGTCATAACATCGACCAACCGAGAAGACAGCAGCACCCCCACTCCCTGGCAGGCGTTCTCGCTCTCCGGGACTCCTGACCATAGAGCTAACGCCCCGCCAGGGAGCTCTTCAGTACCACTGCCCTTCCGTTTGGTCTCCGACATACACACATCTAATTCTCTTTCTTTCATTATTTCGATCAACTCATTCGTCTTATCTCTCATGCCTCCTCTAACATTCCACGTGCCAACTCTGCACTCTGTCCTCCACCTTCCGCCGTGTCGGGCTGTGCGTGACGGGTGGCGGTCCCCATCGCCGCTTTGCACGCTGCATTCCACACCAACGGGGACGAGCTGGTGTGCGTCGCCTTGGGGGGACGCCCTAACCCTCGTTGACATGGGTGCGCAGCTAGTAGAATTGCAGCCCTGAAAAGGGCTGGCAGGGGTCGCGACGAGCACGCTTCTACAATGACCCCCGTCAGTTTACTTCGTATTTAATTTATCATCATTATTTTCATACGTGGTAGAGCCATGCTGCAGTATATTAATAGTATAGTTGTAGCACGAATGGGTCGGCTTGACCGGGGAAGGACCACGCTCTCACAGAATACCAGCGTAAAATAGTAGCATAACACTGCTGTGTTTCGTATGGTGAGTGTAGAGTACCGGAGACCCTTTTTACTGGAAAAGAGGCATTCCATCTTAGACCTCACGGCTGACAACGCATCTGCATTTTGATTCACAAACGAGGATAAATGTAAATGTCTATGGGCCACAGCAACCACTTACCATCAGGTGGACTGTGTGCTCGTTTGTCACCCTATCCTATAAAAAAAAAATCATTACGGCCCTTTACAAGTCTATTGCTGAACACAGACCTCCCCAAGGAATGTCACAAAGCTTGGTCCGGAGAAACCTGCATCCATCGACTTTCTGCATGTCTTACCAGCTCATCACTCTATCTAGTGGGAGAACGCCCTTCACTTCGCCTACCGGTACGAGATTGCCACTTGAGAACCTTTCTTCTCATTCGGTTGTGGGTTCTTCGAACTATATGGCCGATCTATTACCACTTCAGCTTACGAATTCATTGAGTTATGTCGGTAACTCTGGTTCTACTTCGGATATCCTCATTTCTAAGTTTATCATGCATAGAAACCCCTAACATAGCCCTCTCGATAACCTGCTTAGCGACCTTGAGGTTACTTTTACCATATTTTTTTTTAAATCCCACAATTTTATTGTACATAGCTTAAAGAAACATACAAATGTTGTGCAGTGTCCAAACTAGGCACAAACCTGTATTATGGATAATCAGGCCTTCACCCTACGGATAAATGCAATATGTATACTGTGGGAATACGGATAGAAATAATAAAGTCACTAACTAACACTGACATTAAGAAGCAAATATCAAAAACCAATACTTGATCAACAACTCGTTCATTTTATTAATAACAAAAAAATAATAATGCATCACTAAGGATTGAGAGGCTAGTGATCTTTCACTACGATGTGAGGTATAACGTGCCGTGAGCTTGGAATATGCAACTTAGCAATGCAGTGTCCGGATTCAAAAACTTTTTACTTCGTAATGCAATGCAGTGCTCACTGTATTAATAAAGTAATAAAATAATAATAAAGTAATACAATACACACGAAGGTTTGTTTTATATTCATTAACTCGTACATTGAAATAAATTGTAATTAATAGTAGGGTAAGTTGTAAATAAACGTTGGAATCCACATTTAGTCCTTCGAGCCAGATATTTTGATATTTTCATGCGGCAATGCCGAGACCTAAGACGACCCTAAAGGAAGATCAACTATGATACCTAAGTTTTCACTAAAGAATATAAATTGAAGCAGCTTAAGAATAAAATATCGACAACACAGAACGTCCTTGTTAAAACTAAGCCAACATGGCATTTATAATCTTTAATACGAAACTTGGAAAAATTACAACCAAAGTGCAAAGGACAATCAACGACGAACATTTCTTAAACTTTACAAACATGCACGAATATTTTGACTTTATGATGGAAAAATTACAAGAAAATTTAAAAAAATTATAGACAAAGACAAACAAAATAATAAGACCATACAGACTGCAGATTTCCCGGAGCGTCAGTGTTCCATACAACATATAGCTTTTACGTGGTAGAGCCATGCTGCAGCTATATTAATATTATAGTTGTAGCACGAATGGGTCGGCTCGACCGGGGAAGGACCACGCTCTCACAAAATACCAGCGTAAAATAGCAGCTTAACGCTGCTGTGTTTCGTATGGTGAGTGTAGAGAACCGGAGACCCATTTTACTGGAAAAGAGGCATTCTATCTTAGTCCTCAAGGCTGACAACGCATCTGCATTTTAATACACAAACGAGGATAGATGCAGATGTCTATGGGCCACAGCAACCACCATCAGGTGGACTGTGTGCTCGTTTGTCACCCTAATTCTATAAAAAAAATACAGCTAATTACTTATACAATTTGTATTAACATGGCGTGTAATATTTATTTGACACCGACCTTCCCGAATGTTCCCGCTCCAATCTTCAGCCCACGCTGCCACTTGAAGGTGACTTGTCGCAGCTTGGGCTCGTAGCTGGCCACGGCGGATTGCAAAACGCGACCAACTGCTCGCTTGCTCCGCAGCTTCTCATCACGAGCTTCATCCAGCCTCTGCACAGCTTCTGCCACTCGTCTGCTGTAATCGCTCGTTTCACTATTCCAGCCCTCTGCGCTGCATCCGTTCTGACCTAATTGATACAAAGGTTTCGGCTGCCGATGTTTTCCTAATCCCCAGGGTTGTCTGAGGCACTAAGTTAGTGGGCAAACTTAGTGCCTCAGACAACCATGGGGATTAGTAGTAGTAAACTTTAATTTAAGGTGACCACGATACAAACTAATAAAGGGGTGTCGTCACATCCAAAAGTATTTTTATATATATGAAATTGAAGTGATAATCAAACTTACGGCCACCCCGAGGATATATGACTACTGCAGCAATGGATACCTGCTACCAACTTCGAACAAAGAAGGCTGCAAATGTGTCACCAATGAGGAAAGAGATGGGATTCCTCACAGCCTGTAACTATATGGGTTCTCTAATCCCTTCAGACCGAGACACAGTGCAGGCACTGTTATATAATATTATACTACAATTTTAATAGAAATATACTATGTATTTGACATTGAATTATTAAAAAATCTAAACCGACTTCCAATTATCAACGACCTGGCTAGAATATGCACCTGTAATCTTTTTTGTAAAAAGTTAGTTGCAGGTTTCCACATTCTGATGTGGCCACTTACCAGCAGCTTTCAAGCAAGGACTAAGTTGGTACGTAGCTTCAAGTCCTTTATTAAAATTTAGCATTCTGCGAGTGGTAATTTTTTACCACATTACTCAAGACATTTCATTCATTACAGCTTATTCAAGTCCACTGCTCTCTTTGAATTATTACCTCATTAGGAGAATATATGCCACAGTTGCTACGCTTGGCAAGTTGTGAGGCAGTCGTTGGCAGGTCGATAGAAAGACATTGTGCCCATGTACTGGTTTGTTTGCCTGTTCTGTTCCGTTGCCTTTTACGATACCCACGGGACGATATGGGATAGTGGATATTCTTACACCGCCACTACGCGGTAAAAGGACTAAAGACAAATAAAAAAGAATGATTTAAAGATGACTCTATATCTAAACTGTGTTTAAAAACTTGACTAGATTTAACTTGACTCGAATAAAAGCTCCCCTTGTAAAATTTTTTTGTGTGGGGATAACGTATTTTTAATTAAAAAAAAAATTACGTTTAATGGAATTTAAATGTACGTGATACATTGTTTTCAGTGTTATAACAATATATTAAATATTTTTCATCATCATTACATGGGAATAATTGCCATTTTTTTATAATTTAGAGTTTTTATCAGGAAGATCCTGCTGTCCATCTCCTGTATTCCTCCGTTTACCCTCTGTTACACCCACCGGATGATATGGGGTAGTGAATTCTCTTAAACCGCCGCAACACGGCCTACATCATTTTGTAATTTTGTGTTCATATGAGGTGAAATACCTGGAACTTCCTCGGGCTGGAAGCTGGGCGCGTCACATTCGGCGGGTGGAGTGACTGGCGCTGCACTCTCCTTGTACACGGGGCTTTGGGCACCGCTCGAGTTCGACAGAGGACTCTAGATATTGTTTAGTTATTTTGAGTGTGTGCCATTTATGATTTATATGATTTATGTGCCACTTTCAGAAGCACGAGTTTAATAAGCCAGACAGTAATTTTACGCCGTAAAAACTTTAAAAATGTCAAGAACAAACATTTTATTAATAGTTTCTTTAAAGACATCGAACATTTTGATACGATATTATTAGGATATTGTAAATATATATAGGAGAGTGTGCATGGAAAGTCACATAATGATGATTGTTTATGCCCAAAAATGGGCATTTTGAGACGGCACCCAATCACCTTCGACTTTGTCGAATCACCCGATGGTGTCGAGGTGAGGTAATGCCGACGGCGGGGGGAGGCGGCCGCGTGCCGCGAGCAGTCGCTCAACGCGCTGGCTGAAGGAGTAGCTCGCTGGCAGCAGTGCGGTTAATCCGCGTATCTCGGTTATCGCTGCAGAAGTTTCGCGCGACCGGTTTTGGTTTATGGTCTAGATATTTAGAATTTGTGCGTGTTACTTCGCCATGTAATTGTGGTTTCATGAAAACCGCCTCGGTTTAATTTGTCTAGGTTTTAAGTTTGTGACAAGAGGCTTGTATTGTATTGGACTGATTAAAATAATTTCGTTTGAAAGTAATTGTGCAAATTATATAGTGATTGCGTATTAAGTGCATTTTGCAATATTTAACTTGCTCGGGTGACGTTGAATTTCGCACGCGCGCGCCGAGTAGATATACGGTCTAGAATTCGAACGGCGCATTCCTTTATCGAGGGCGTCTCCCGGTTGATTGTTGGGAAATCATCGTTTAATTATACCGTCGCCTTAAGAGCCTTTTGTGTGTTGACTCGGTAGCTAGTTTACGTGTCAGCTAGGTTAATTTGAATTCTTATTGCGGCGTGGTGTTTAATATCGAACGAGGGAACTTAGTTGTGTTTGTAACGCTGAACCGTGAGACTCATGAAGAGATAGCGTTAGTTCCCTATTTGTAATTTGGTGATATATGAATCCGGGACATTGAATGTCGAACTTTGAACTACTGTCCGTCACTGTGTCGGGTATCACGTGTTCGATTCTACGTGGAATGTTGAATTAGGCGAGTTGAAGTTAGTTAACTGTACAATAAAGTAAATAGACTGAAATAGTGACAATGAAGAAAGAAACTGTCCATTGTGGACGCCTGCTGGAGTGATGCAGCATTGTGGGGCAGCATGGAAACCGTCGCGCTGCCACGTCACCTCAGCTGGGCCAGGTCACCTACATATACACACCACTAAACACCACTTTACATGCATCTACTCTACCTACGGCCTGACCGAGCCTTGGGGCGATCTTAGATTCGGATACAGGTACGTACCAATTATTTTCCTAGCCTTCTCCTTATTCTGTAGTATGATAGGTCATTTTTCCATAAGGCCACTTGGGCCCGAACCCTCGGCTGCCCGTCGAGGAGGCTACTATGGGCCCTAGCCAAGGCCACCTTTGCAGGGGCAGCTGTGGGCCGTAACAATGATGATGAAATTGTTCTCAAGATATTTTTAATTATTTGCATATTATGTTTTTTGTTTTCTTTTAGTTTTTATCTATACAATTAAAAGTGTCTGAATGTCAAAATAACAGCTTTTTACTAAATGCATATGAAATTTTATACGGTACTTATAACAAAAACACTATTTTTAAAATTTTTGTCTGTCAGTTTGTTCCGGCTAATCTCCGAAACAGCTGGGCCCATTTCGACGGGGCTTTCACTGGCAGATAGCAGATGTAATAAGGAGTAACTTAGGGTACTTATATTTTAGAAAAAGAATTAGGGTTCCGCGAAACATAATTAAAGCCCTAAATTGAACGCGGGCGAAGTCGCGGGGAAACGCTAGGTTGATTTTTAAACGCCTCAATATCCATTTTAATAAATTCGTCCGCATATTGGCCTGAACCGAAGCAGACTGAATGACCTTCCAACGTGTGAACGCCATCACAAACTCTTCGCTAGTCCATCCATCCATCTTTGCCAACACATTCGCCACTATGTTGGCCAACGTAAAGAGCCGCCTTTAGACAGAGCAACCTTTCCAACATTACATGGTGATTCCGAATATTGTTTTCTCGATTAAAATAAAACATATTCTTATGAATCTAAAAACAACTGTAAATCGCTCTCCTGTAAACTTGGTAACTTCGCGATTTGCAGTTTCGATAGTGTTCGTTGCCAGTCGAAGTGGTGTGCGGGTATGTGATGCGTCACGAACAAATAAGAATATATTAACACAAAATCCATGACGTCACAATAGGAGACTGCGTAGCTAATGCGATTCCTCGCTTGACTTTTGTCTAATGTGCACAAATACTTAAAACAATTTTTCATAAAATGTGATGCAATTTAGCCTAATCTTATTTAATTTGATTAGTTTATAAAAAATTCAGGTACCATTTTTATACTCCATGGATATGCAATTTAGTAACGAATGAAATAGGTTTTGAGGACTATATCATTATTTCTTCACTATATATGCAAGACGAAAAAACGCATGCATATCCTTTAAAAGAAAACAAGTGTGCTGGACGAGGTGTACAGTGTGATACTAAATGGTACGGGAAGATTTATGCGGGATGTAGGATGATGGTACCAGATGAGCACAACGGTGTGTGTGAGCGAGTGGTGCGTTACGCGTTGCGTGAGCGCCTAGTAGGTACTTACGTGCAGCACTCGGCGAGCACGACGCGGTGTTTCGGCGTGCAGCGTGGCGTTCGGCGTGGCGTTCAGCGTGGTGTAAGGAGCGGGTCGCGAACCAATCACGTGCGAGATGCACGCGTCCATTAACTGCTTCAGCTCCTGCGCACGCCACACAACCGATATACAACACCCGTACTACAAGAACATTCTTTTCCTAATTCTTTTCTCCTATATCGTGTTTTACATATATAAATTGTATGTTAACTTCAACTGAAAATAACTTATTTTTCTCTCTTCCGTCGCTCTAATTCACAATACAATAACTAACACTATACGCAACAGTGACAACTATACTCCACAAAATCTAAGAAATACCTTCTGACAGCTGCCACATTTATTGGACTAGGCATTTCAACTGAAAATCGGTACCTACAATATTCGTTTCTTAAGAGAAATCGATATGGATTCTTTGGTTTTATCTAGATTAATAATATAATAAATTAGAAACAGATAACTCAAACCAGAAAATTTATCCGTTTTTTCATATTTATTACTTACTGCTAATTTCTAGAGATGAAGTTATATAAATTAAAGTCTGCGCCAGATTAAAAACAAATTTATTTAATCACTTTCACTTACAACTAGTTGAGCTGTCGTCGTCGTCTTTGTTGTTTACATTAATTATTACTTGATTTTATTTAATGCATTCAAAATGAATGTCCCTTTCATAGTCGTCCATAACAATTTTCTTTATTTTCTCCATCACTTTGTACCAGTGATCACTTGAGTAGAAGTTGTAATTTCTACAAATCCTCCTCCAGCAGATCCTACATGTCAAATTATGAGGTGCTTACCTTTTCTCACGAGCACGTGTCATCTGTTCATGTCCACGGCACAGTGTGTTTTTCGTTTAGCCATGTTTCATCAATGAATATAACGTTGTCCCAATTGGTTAGATTTTTAATTTCTCGTAAAAAAATTATTCTTTGCATTCATGTCATTAAATAATTATTGTGTTTGTCATTTTTTTTTGTATGTATAGTTCATACATGTTGTAATGAAATAAAGATATTTTTTTGATTTTTTTAAATAAAATTTTTAAAGTTGTTGATTGACAAACTTTGAACATTTTCTAAGATTTTGTTGTAAAAATTTCCCCATAAATGAATTACTTATTCTGTGGAGTCTAGTAACTGGAATTACAAGGTTATGTTTGTTCCTAGTATTTAAATATGAACATTATTGTTCTGATCAAAGCTATTAATGTTTTATGTACATTACATTCGCATAAATAAATTGCGATGCTAATGTTAATATGCTGATTTCTTTAATTTTTCTCCGAGGAACTTGTTACAATTTAAGTTAAAAATAGCCCGTACAGCCCTCTTTTGCAAAACAAACATGGTTTCAAATTTCAATGTCAGTTGCGTTACCCCATAGCGAAATTCCATAAGACATTACGCTATGAAAGTAACCTAAATAAAATAATCAAGCTGTTTCAACATTGGTGCTGCAGCACTAAGTCTGCTTGCTAATTTAGATATATCCCCCATAAGAGCTTCACGTATATAATAATTCCAAGAAAAATAGTAGTATCTACAAAACTCAACTCCTCCTCATTTAAGAGCACATTGATATTCGAATATTTAACATTAGTTATTGTGAAATTTTGTTTTATGGTCGTTTCAAAGCAAATTGTTGGCATTAAAGGAATTTACTAATTTTGACAGCGCATTATTTATATCGTTATAATTAATAGATTGCCCTTTTTGTTTGAAAATTGAAAAGGTGTCATCAGCATATATTATATTGTATCCAACAAGATAAGGTATGTCATTAATATAAATTAAGAACAGCAGTGGGCCAAGAATTGACCCCTGGGAAAACACCTATTGATACTACACGAGTACGACAAGAGGAATTTTTACCATTGATAACGAATTTATTTGTTATTATCTTTTAAAAAAAAAGGAGTTTAATTATAAATTCATCATAAATTTTCTTAGAATTATATGCAAATACAATAAAAAAGAGACTGTCATTGCAATTTCATCGAATGACACAATCATCACCCATTAACTCAAGCAATGTTATTTTCAACTACAAACCTATCATCACATCATTGTCATATTCCAGTCGTGCCTTTTAACTAATACCTTTATTCAACTTTATAATTGTCTAAAGTTAAATACAACTTTATATAAAAGAGCGTACCTCAAACTCCTCGTCGCTCAAATGTTTCGTATTGTACGGATCACAGGCGAGCATGAGGAACTCTAGACCTTGACTCGCCCATCTGCAAACAAACATACGTATATTATGTCGATCCACTTACCAAGCGTGACGATTAAAGCAAATGCTCTCTACAACGTGAAAGATCGTGAAAGATATATATTTACGTGGTAGAGCCAAGCTGCAGCCATATTAGTAGTATAGTTGTAGCACGAATGTGTCGGCTCAACCGGGGAAGGACCACGCTCTCACAGAAAACCAGCGTAAAATAGCAGCTTAACGCTGCTGTTTCGTATGGTGAGTGTAGAGAACCGGAGACCCTTTTTTACTGGCAAAGAGGCATTCCATCTTAGTCCTCACGGGTGACAACGCATCTACATTTTGATTCGCAAACGAGGATAGATGTAGATGTCTATGGGTCACAGCAACCACTTACCATCAGGTGGACTGTGTGCTCGTTTGTCACCCTATCCTATAAAAAAAACCAGAGGGAGTAAGTAGAGAACTAGAGACCCTTTTTTACTGGAAACTAGGCATTCCATCTTAGTCGTAGGGGTGACAAGGCTTTTGCATTTTGATATTTTTTAATAAATAAGGGTGACAAACAAGCACACAGTCCACTTGATGGTAAGTGGATGCTGTGGCCAATAGACATCGACATCTTTCCCCAATTTAGAATCATAATGCAGATGTGTTTTCAGCCCTGAGTCGAAACCATGTCATGCTGGCATTTAACGATGATATTCTCTTTGTCTTTGACGGCCGCAAGAATTCTTTCTTGTTGTAACTATAGCGCAGCTGACGGTATCGGTCCTCCTACATTCACCAATTCGTTTGCCTAGTGAGGTTATCTTAACCTTATCAAGTTTTTTCAGAGTTACATAATAATTGGCGCGTTCCTGTAAAGGCGTATGTACGTTCAGCACTAGATTCAAATAGGTTGGTTACAATGATGGACATAAATAATATATAGATGTTAGTACTCAAAAGCCGTGGCTAAGTGGTCGTATCATTACATCAGATACTTGAAAAATCCTTACTTTTACAGTATATTTTTTTTGCAGTGTGAAGAAATATACATAAATTGCACGTAAAAAAACTCAGAATAATAATTTAACGGTCGACCATGTAGCGCTTTGCCAAACGTTTAGCCATTGGTACAACAAGTTATCGAATGTAAAATGTGTACAATTTCAAAGTGGAAGGAGTCGTGGTGGTGAGTTATAACTGGTAGGAGTTGAGAGGTGATATAGTAGATGCGAGCCGGAAGAGATATGATGGAAGCGGAAAGAGGTGAGGTGTGAGAGGTGAGATGAGAGACGGTAGAGGTAAAAGGTGAAATGGGTGCGGTGAGAGATGAGACGTGAAAGGTAAGATGGAAGCGGGGCGATGTGATGGGTGAGATGGGAGTGGGGAGAGGTGAGAGTTGAGATGTGAGCGGTTAGATGACGGGTATGATGGGAGTGTAGAGAGATGAGATGGGAGCGTAGAGGGGTGTGATGGGATCATAGAGGTTTGAGATGGGAGCGTACAAAGGTGGCATGGGAGTGTAGAGTTGAAATAGAGAGGCGGTACGCCAACAGCCCCCCGCCCAGCGCTGCTGCTCGCTGCTGCTCGCACGCAGCCTCCCCACCTACAGCAGAGAGGTGAGTACCGTGGGCGGCGGCCGCGGCCGCGCTCGCAGCGCTCCATGACGAAGCGCATCCAGCAGCGCGCGAACTGCACCCGCCCAGCGCTGCTGCTCGCTGCTGCTCGCACGCAGCCTCCCCACCTACAGCAGAGAGGTGAGTACCGTGGGCGGCGGCCGCGGCCGCGCTCGCAGCGCTCCATGACGAAGCGCATCCAGCAGCGCGCGAACTGCACCCGCCCAGCGCTGCTGCTCGCTGCTGCTCGCACGCAGCCTCCCCACCTACAGCAGAGAGGTGAGTACCGTGGGCGGCGGCCGCGGCCGCGCTCGCAGCGCTCCATGACGAAGCGCATCCAGCAGCGCGCGAACTGCACCCGCCCAGCGCTGCTGCTCGCTGCTGCTCGCACGCAGCCTCCCCACCTACAGCAGAGAGGTGAGTACCGTGGGCGGCGGCCGCGGCCGCGCTCGCAGCGCTCCATGACGAAGCGCATCCAGCAGCGCGCGAACTGCACCCGCCCAGCGCTGCTGCTCGCTGCTGCTCGCACGCAGCCTCCCCACCTACAGCAGAGAGGTGAGTACCGTGGGCGGCGGCCGCGGCCGCGCTCGCAGCGCTCCATGACGAAGCGCATCCAGCAGCGCGCGAACTGCACCCGCCCAGCGCTGCTGCTCGCTGCTGCTCGCACGCAGCCTCCCCACCTACAGCAGAGAGGTGAGTACCGTGGGCGGCGGCCGCGGCCGCGCTCGCAGCGCTCCATGACGAAGCGCATCCAGCAGCGCGCGAACTGCACCCGCCCAGCGCTGCTGCTCGCTGCTGCTCGCACGCAGCCTCCCCACCTACAGCAGAGAGGTGAGTACCGTGGGCGGCGGCCGCGGCCGCGCTCGCAGCGCTCCATGACGAAGCGCATCCAGCAGCGCGCGAACTGCACCCGCCCAGCGCTGCTGCTCGCTGCTGCTCGCACGCAGCCTCCCCACCTACAGCAGAGAGGTGAGTACCGTGGGCGGCGGCCGCGGCCGCGCTCGCAGCGCTCCATGACGAAGCGCATCCAGCAGCGCGCGAACTGCACCCGCCCAGCGCTGCTGCTCGCTGCTGCTCGCACGCAGCCTCCCCACCTACAGCAGAGAGGTGAGTACCGTGGGCGGCGGCCGCGGCCGCGCTCGCAGCGCTCCATGACGAAGCGCATCCAGCAGCGCGCGAACTGCACCCGCCCAGCGCTGCTGCTCGCTGCTGCTCGCACGCAGCCTCCCCACCTACAGCAGAGAGGTGAGTACCGTGGGCGGCGGCCGCGGCCGCGCTCGCAGCGCTCCATGACGAAGCGCATCCAGCAGCGCGCGAACTGCACCACGCCGCGCGCCACCAGCCCCGCCCAGCGCTGCTCCTCGCACGCAGCATCCGCACCCTCCCCCACCTCCTCCGCATCCCCCGCCTCCCCCTCGCAACGCTCCCGCTCGTCCGCCAACAGCTGCTCCAGCTCATTGTGTCTCTGTAACAACACACTAATCAACATACTAACTCGAACGGTGCCGAAAACTTGAAAACTTGCCAATGTGCAACTAGTACGCGAAAAAAGTAGTCGTGCCGATTCCTGTAATTATCGACCAATCGCCATCACCTCCATACTCCGTAAAATAATTAGGTATTGAACAGTAAGCTGCTGACATATCTTGAAACAAATGACCTCCTCAGTGACCATCAACATGGCTTCCGTCGGGGACGGTCCACTGGAGATCTGCTTATATATGTCACGCCCTTCTGGGGCGAAGCCATCAAGAAAAACGGTGAAGCTGTAGCAGTTTCATCCGATATCTCGAATTTTGACCGGGTTTGGCAAGCAAGTCTACTGACTAAGCTTCCTGTTTACGGCATACCCGTCGAATTTTGCAACTGAATATCTGACTTTCTGAATGAACGGTCGATCAGGGTAGTCATAAATGGCTGCTCTTCTGACCTAATGCATATTAATGCCGTAGATCCTCAGGGGTTTGTTCTCTCTGCGACACTTTTCTTTCTGCACATCAATGACCTACTTCTACCAGGTATTGTTGGGTATACAGATGACATCACAGTCAAAGAGACAGAGAGAGAGATTCATGTCCAGTGCAAAAAACCGAGGGGCAGCAATACGTTTACTCAGAGAGGCCATGGTCGAACGGATAAAAGCGACCAATGATAAGTCTTGTCTCCCAATGGGGTGATGACAATCTTGTCAATTTCAACGGCGCCAAAACGCAGGTTTGTCTGTTCACAAACCGTAGTCCGTTCGATCTGACTTCTACTTTCCGAGGTACGTATGAAGATGTTACTAATGATCTCGGCATACAGTTGAGTGCTAACCTCAACTTTGGCGCTGATATTGAGTCGAAAGCACAAACTGCGGCATAAACTGGGTATCTTAAACAGGATCAAGCGACACTTCACGCTTGGACAGCTTCTAACTTTATACAAAGTTCAAATCCGAACATGCATGGAGCATTACAGTCACCTTTGGGATGGCTCAGCAAATTATCAACTTGCCGCACTCGACTCAGTGCAACGCAGAGCCAAGAGGCTTATCGGCGACAAAAAGCTCGTGGAAACTAAGCTCAGCTTAGCTCACCGCCACCAAGTTGCTTGTTTGTCGTTCTTCTACAGATTGTACTTCGGAGAGTGTGCCCATGAGCTTCATAAGCTCATACCGGCATCTCCATTCTCCTATCGTAGTACCAGACGTACTGCAGGTTACCATCCACACTTGGTTGACATTCCGAATATTCGCACTAAGCGCTATAAGTCTACTTTCATAATACGCATAGCCAAGGAGTGCAATGCTCTGCCGGCGTCTGTTTTTCCGAGTGCATATGAGCTTAACCTCTTCAAGGTGCGTGTTAACAGACTTCTCCTGAGTAAACTCGCTCCATCGTAGACCTCATCTTTGTCCTCGAGCCGGATGGAGGTTAAGAGTTAGCCTATTTATAATATAAAAAAAAATATTTCGGGTGTCCAGTAATAAATGGATAACCTTGGAATGCCTTACAGCAGAACTAATGACTGTTCGAACAAAATAAGAAAATTCTCCAGTAGTACCCAAGAAGGCATAAATTAAAAAAAATATATTTTTGCACGAATTTTAAATTCGTTTAAATTTACATTAGGTACAACAATAAATTATACCACTAAGACCAGCCTTCTTAGTGGTCAGCCATCGCACAGACTACTGCACCTGAGCATGCCTCAAGTAGAAGCTAAGCTCGTGTCGTATTATCGACAGCGGTGAGTCTATCCTTGTATAGTTGTGTTAGGAGTAGTGGTACTGGGATTAGTGGTAAAGGGGATAGTGCACGCAATTGATGGAATGCGGGAGGTGCTCTACAAACTAAGGATGACACATTATTTTATTTTATCTTAGCAAATCAATTTTGAAAACCTTGAATATAAATTTCGTGACAAAAATATTAGTATTTTTTTAAAAGCATGTCATGGGTACTCACTAGGAATATTTTATTGAACAGCCATTAGTTCTACTGTAAGCCATTTTAAGGTTATCCGTTAATTACCGGACATTCTGTATACCTAAAAACTAAGTCGTATTTGATAATTTGGTTCTAAACACAATAGGAATTTGGCCATGGAAAGAAAAGGTGAGATCTCCCGCCGGGCAAGTTGTTCAGCCCGGTAAGAGGCCAACGCTCCTTGTGTTAGTACAGAGCTGTTCTATATATATCGCAGTGGAACTTTGATAGCGCGTTTTAGGTTTCGGTGCGTTTCGCTTGTGGCGCGACAACAGCGCCGCCATAGGAATAAATCAATAATTTTATTAATTACGATTTATAACAATTGATATTGCGGTGAAACTCACAGAAGTGTCAAGAGCCGCAGTTTCAAGCATCCTGCAATCGAATACACTGTCCTCGTTGATGCTCTCCGAACGTAAGAGCTTGGAGCGGCTGTTGTCAAGCCGTGCGGCGCTACCGCGTTCCGACTCCTTCACGAACCGGTGTAACTCTTTGTGCATCTGTCGAACATGAAAATAACCTTAATGTTATTATATCAGTATTGACAAAACAAACATCCATCAACAAAACAACTAGATGGCGGGTCACGTAGAATAGAATAGAATCATTTTTATGCAATATAGTTTATAGGAATACTTATAGAAAGTTATTTAAGCTTTACCACCGGTTTGAAAAAACACCTCTGTCACCAACTTTAAAAAAATATTTTCAATATAATTTTTTTATATATGAAGTATGAAAACATGTAGAAACAGCATGGTGGCGATCACCTCATTCTCAGGAGTTATTATCAATCATGTATTCTTTAGCAGTAATAACCCTTACTATACAATTTTTGCTTAATTAACATTTTAAGCTTTTTGTTAGATGAGTCCCGCATATTTTCTGGGACTGTTGCAAAAGCGTATATATTTCCCTATGAAGGAATTACTGACTCTGGAGTCAAGTAACATACAAAATTAAGCTAAATCTTATATACTAACAATAATGTCACAAATGGCAAAAATGGAAATCTTACCTTTAAATAAATAAATAAATGAAAAATACTAAAAGTCCATTAAAACAGACAGATTTTTATTATGAACGATATTAACAAAATTATATCAAGAGACGTTATAAAATAAAAATAAATAAATAAATAAGTAATAGTGTAGCCAAAACAAGCAAAATATAAAACAAATCCAAAAAGCTATACAATAGTTATAAGTCCAAAAAGCTGTAAGTATTAAAACACACAATAGTTTTACAATCATTATTATTATTAAAGGTTCACACGAAAGAAAACCATAATCATACGAAAGTAATGATATATCTTAGTTATTAATAACTAAAATAAAAAAATTCAAAAACCCCGAAACAAAAAGAGCTAATGATCTTTTAACGGCTGAACTGATTTTCTTGAAACATAGCTAAACATTCTCGATTAAGGAACCTTTCAAAAAAAAAATTAATCAAAATCGGTTCGTCCGTTCAGGAGTAGATGGATGCCACAGACAGTCACACAAATACACAGATACACTACAAACATATAACACACTCCTCTGTTTTCTTCGGGGTTAAAAAAAAGATATATGTACATCTTTTTTGCAACTACAATGTAGATAATGTTTAGATCGTACAGATTATTTAAAAAAAAATACTAGTAAAGCTATTAACATACCCGTCAATCACTCCGGTTAAGCTTAAAATGTTTGTATTAAGAAGGATTCATGACCGAAGTCGAATGACGGATTCGAACCCACATCCTTTGAGTTTGCTGTTTGCATCCTACCATTAGGCTACTGTCCCATTAAAAACGTATTAGGTCGGGGAGTTTCTTCGTATTTTATAAATAAATTCAAGACAATATTTTCTGTTTAATTACATTTAATTATAATATATACCTGGTTATTTTGCAATAACCAGCCAAATTTGCAGATATGGTTCAGTACAAGTAATATAGGCAAATGGTGAAGAAAAATTAATTAAAAAGGATCTCAAACATTCTGTCATTGTTATCCTTAAATTCAAAATGCGTGGTAATGCATTATTTTAACTGATTTTCATTCATAAATATCTAACGCATACTATTTTACACAAGCACACATTCTCCCCCGCTCTTTCCTTCTATTTACCGTTACACCACTAAGTACATACGTCCGCACGCCCGGCCGACAGCTGACAGTGTCGACCGTGACCTCATTACGTACGTAGCATTACCAATGACGTGATGAAACGAAAATATTCGAACTAGGAATACCATGAAATGTTAAGATATTACAGTATTTACCGCATTTGCAAAGACAATGAATTAACGCACGTCTACCACCAATCAGAAAACAATTTTTGCAGCTAACCAAAGGCTGTTAGACTTAGGACAGTTCACCACTCTGTCACATCGAGGTGGTCATTTAGTAATAAACCCGGCTGTCGAAAACGCAGTAATCGAGTTTTTCGATCGAACCTCCGCGCTAGCACCAATGATGCAGCTCGAGTTCAGAGTTAGACAGTACATGTGGAAAGTAATGAATTCTTCTGGATTACGTTTCATTACCAATGTAAACAAGCACTGAATAATAACGATGCTCCACCTCGAAAACATTTTTGTGAGTGGTTAGTGTTATTTTAAGTGATTGCATATTTAAGTAGTAAAATAATGTTAATAAACATATTACGCCGAATAGAACGGCGCATGCGCCGACGCGATGTTGGTGTCGGCAAAGGTCGGCAATACTCGGCACTTTTCGTACTGCTTATTATCGCACTAGTGCCTAGTTTTAAACGCCCTCAACGCTAGACGCTACGCTCACACCGCCTGAGTAAGCGTTTTTTAAAACGCGCCAACCTATCATCGGCTTTCTAGCTCTTTATCTTTTCTACAACGTGACATTAACGAAGTAAACAGTAGGCAAAAGCCTCGTACATTAACTCGTACACATACGAGCTCGCGTATGCTTTAGTTGTTGCCCATAAATCACATTCCATTTCGGATATTTTCAAATAAATGTAGAAACCTGAATCAAAATTTTCAAATAAATCTTAAACACGCGTATTTTTAAAAACGGCAATAATTGTATATCAGTAGATATTTATATTTTGAAGTTAATTATTAAATTTGGCTAGTCTTTGAAAAATAACCCTGTATGTGCCATTTTGTTCGATAACTTGTAGGTTTATGTTACCATAATTCTACAGATACGGGATCTGTAGAAATTTTGAAATTTTTGATTAAAAACTTGCGACAAGTAGTTTTGACAGTCCTTTCTTGCTATTAACCTAACACTACCCAAAGAATTCTAAAGAGACCGAAACAGGTGAAAATCTGGGCGTGCAAAGTCAATACTATATGGTGGATTCATTAACACTTCCCAACCAGGTTCTTCAAATTTTGCTGAGTGTCCAAAAAGGTGTGTGGTCTGACGTTGTCATAATCAAAGACCACTCATTTTCTGTTGATCAATTCCGGCCATTTTTCCTCAATTTTTTGCTTGACTCTCATTAGTTGTTGGCTAGAGATTCGAATCGATGGTTTTGCCCGGCGGTAAAAGCTCATAATAAACGATGCCCTTCCAATCCCACCATAGACACAGCACCATCTTATTGCGTGTTAATCCGGATGGGTTTCGCTACAGTCTGTGGAGTTTGACTACCCTTTGCTCATGATCTTTTTCGCACGATCTTGTCGTAGGTGATTCAGTTTTTATCACCAGTGACTTATTTTTTCAAAAATGGTTCGGTTTTATTACGTTTCAATAGAGAATCGCAAGTGAGTACACGATTCATAAGGTTTATTTCAGTGAGTTCGTGTGGTACCCAAATATCGAGCTTTTTTGTATAGCCACACTTTTTCAAATAGGTCAAAACTGTTTTTGTGGTCAAGTACTAATATGCTGATTTTGCTGTAGTTTTGTAAAAATGGCATAGATTTTATCCGTATGAGGAGTGAGTTACATTTTTTACATCAAAATTCCCGGATGGAAAACGTTTGAGCCAACTTTATGCTACTCCTACTGGCACTGCGGTAGGTTTATAAAAGTCATAATTTTTTTTGCGGCTTGATTCCCTTATTTGTAATAAAACTTCAAAATGTATTGAATTTTTTTGTTAGATTCACTTATTTGGCAAACAGAAAAATAATTGAAAATCGCAGGAAAATTTTTTTATACTTTTTAGTTTTCTCTTTCTTAATGTCCCATATGTATTGATTTTAAAACCAGCCAGATATAAACAGTACAACCAAAGAGATTTTTCTCCATTTTATGTGAACAAAACACGAAGGAACTTTTTCCCCGAACTATTATAATAAAATGAAAGAAACATAATTATCGCATAAAATGAAATGCTAATTTTACAGTACGACACACAACACTAGCAAAAGCTGGGCACACGGCAAAACCAACAACAACAGCACAACGCAGTTTGCAAGCTGGACTTAGTGGCACACGCAGCACACCAGCGTCCAGCGTCCAGCGTCGTACCGCGCGGTCCGCGGAGTGGTGCAACACCACGGTGTCGGGGCGGCGCCTGCACGGCGCGGGGGACGCGGCGCGCGGCGCCTGCAGCGACACGGGCCGGCCGCGCGCCCCGCACCCCGCACCTCCCCACCCGCCGCCTCGCGCCAGCGCGTACAGCTCGCGGTGCAGCTGCGGACACAGCCTGCTCACCGACACGACCGCCGCACATCCACCTCGCAAACTCAACACTATCGACCCCATTCTAATATTACAATACACTCAGGACGTTGGCGGTGTTTCACCTCCGTGCCTCGGAAACCACGTAAAACCGTTGCTCCTGCGCCTAATCTCTCTCCGGACTCCAGACTTTTTATACGTGGTAGAGTCATGCTGCAGCTATATTAGTAGTATAGTTGTAGCACGAATGGCTCGGCTCGACCGGGGAAGGACCACGCTCTCACAAAATACGAGCGTGAAATAGCAGCTTAATCTGCTGTGTTTCGTATGGTGAGTGTAGAGAACCGAAGACCCTTCTTACTGGATACGAGGCATTCCATTTTAATCCTCACGGGTGACAACGCATCTGCATTTTGATTTGTAATAAAGGATAGATGTAGATGTCTATAGGCCACAGCAACCACTTACCATTAGTTGGACTGTACGCGTCACCTTTTACTATAAAAAAAAACTATAAGAATGAGGGAAAAAAGAGTGCACCTGTGCATGCGTATACACTCGGGCACTATAATCCTGGCCTGCGCTGACAGTTAGGCTACGTTGACGTCTATTAGCCGCTGTGACCGAAATTCGGTCAGGAAAACATTATTGATTTCATATAAAGCAAATGAGTGGATTATATCAACAAGTGGTTAAACACCGACATATAATAATTAAAAAAAATTAAATATTTGCACGAACTGAGAAAATTGTGCCAATCAAACACCGAACAATGGGTTACTAGCACTGTCGGCTGCATTGTCTGTGTGCGTGCATCTATCCAGACATTTGTATGACGTTGATTTACCGCTATAGTTATATATTTGTACTGTGATGTTATCTACTAATCAGCTATCATAACAAATACATATTTAATACAAAAATACACAATATTGAATCACACGTCAACTTTGGTTTCGAACTTGTTATTAATCTGAAAGATAGTTTTAATTTTACACACATTTACTAACACAACACTCTCCTATATTATAAGTGCATTATGAATTTTAATTGCCATAATTTTATTAACTAACAAAATATTTATCAAACTAGTTTTTATTGTAATACTTTTAATACTTATCCTAAGGAACTATATATTATTTAAATTTAACTTAATCACGTCAGTTTGAAAAAACAAAATACAAATATATAATAATGTGTAATTTGCAAATATATATATATAGGTATGTGAAACGGTATCGAGTGATACCATGAAACAAATTTAATAGATATGAAAAATAAATAGTTACAGCAATAGAAAGAGATTTAGTTTTTCTTTTAGTTGTGCTGTATTTATCTGTATAATATATCAAATTATTGACGATAGCAATATCATTGAGACATTTTTTTTTTCAAGTATTACCCTGAAGTTATACAGAATTATTTTGCAATAACCGGCCAAATTTGTAGAAAAGGTTCAAATAAGTAATTTATGCAAATGGTAAAAATAAATTAATAAAGAAAAATCTCAAACATTCTGTATTTTTATCTTTTAAATTAAAAATGCGTGGTAATGCATTATTTTAACTGATCTTAGGTATATCATAATTTTTTTGTATTTGAACTTATATTTAAAATTTGGCTACTCTTTGAAAAAGAACTCTGTATAGAGAATATAGAGTCATTATTCTTTTTATCCGTGTAATGTGATATCTGAACGTGCGTGCATGCGAGCGTACATGTGCGTTAGTGTTGCCCATAATCGGTCTTGGTCTTGCAGTCTTGGTCTTGTTCTTGCATTTTTGCAAGACCAAGACCAAGAACAAGACCGCCTCTTTTTAGCAAGACCAAGACCAAGACTGACCGTGCAAGATTTGCGCAAGAACAAGACTAAGCTTGCGAGACTCTTGCGTCTTGCAGTTAGGACTAAGGCTGAGATCTATAGATCGTACTTGGACTTTGCTCAGACTTAGCTTACGAAAAACTTAGCTGAGTATATGCTTAGCATAATCTTTGATTCCGAATTTATAGTTGTATCGGGCTAAGACTGTGCTAAGCTTATGCTAAGGCTCAGGCTGTCAAAAAATTTTTGGATGATTTATTCCACGCATTATCTTATTGATTTTACTGAATAAAAATAAAAAAATTATATATTTAAAAACCGAAAATAGTCCGAATTGTATATCATAAATAAGTTATTATTACATGAAGTAGAAAACAGGCGAATTTAAAGAGAGATAAAAGTACATTTAACTCATTTTAGTTTAAAAATATGAGATAGAAACCGAACGTTTGATCACCCGTTCGCGCGCGCTGTCAAATCAAAATCACTGTTTCTATTTTCTAACGTGAAGCTTTTGGTTTATTGATATTGTGCGCATTTTAAGTTTTTATATATATTTTAATCTCCTGATCTTTTTATTACGACTGGCTTTGGAACTTGGACTCCCGATTCTACCTACCGATTCGACCTACGCTTCAGACATTTGGACCCGACAATCTTTGGACTTTTCTGTGATATAATGGACAATATAGATAGAGTTCTATCTACTTTAGAAAATATAGATAGATTGGGAACTTCAGCAGATATAAATTTTCGGCGCATGCCTAAATTCTATGTTCGGAATGAATACAACCAAAACCCTTTCAAGCTGTATGACGAAAATGAATTTAGAAGAAGATACCGTTTCACTAAACTCACTGTTTTAAAGGTGATATTACCTTTAATAATTGCCAATTTAAAGCATTTGGACAATAGAGGCTTGCCGATTTCTCCAAAACTGCAATTACTTATTGCATTAAGGTTTTATGCTACAGGCTGTTTCCAGGTAATTATTGTTTTGTAGAATAGAATAGAATTTTTATTCAATTGAACTTTTACAAGTTCTTTCGAATAGTCAGAAGTTACCATTGGTTATGTATATAGTATGTTTTATACATAATAAGTAATACCTATATTCCTTGATATTCCAGATGGTGTGTGGTGATTTGACTGGCATAAGCCAATCCACAGTATGTCTTATAATAAATAATGTATCAAGACAATTGAGCAATTTATTACCAAGGTATATACATTTCCCAAGAAGTATGAATGTGGTAAAAAGAAAATTTGAAGAACTAGGAAGATCCAATATTCAGCATGGATTTAACAACATTATTGGCGCTATAGACTGCACACATATTAAAATAAATAGACCCAGAGGTATCTCCCATTCTGAAATATACCGAAATCGTAAAGGATATTTCTCTATTAATGTACAAGCTATTGTAGGCCCAAACATGGAAATTTTTGATTTAGTAACCCGCTGGCCTGGCAGTTCACATGATAGCAGAATATTTAGAAACTCTCAAGCTTACGCTAGATTCTTAAGCGGGAATTTGCAAGGAGTTTTAGTAGGTGACAGTGGTTATCCCTCTCTTCCTTTCCTTTTAACACCTCTTATAACTCCAGTAACAAGAGCAGAAAACCGATACAATTATGTTCAAATAAGAACCCGTAATATAGTTGAGAGGTTTTTTGGAGTATGGAAAAAGAAATTTCCATGCTTACAGTTGGGCCTACGTTCTAAGCTCACTAATACAAGCAACATAATTGTAGCTTGTGCAGTATTGCACAACATAGGTATTCAGAGTGGGGATGCTTATGACGATGGTGATAATGATCATATACCGGAAGTTCCTGAAAGACCAAACAATGAAACATCATCCACTGCAGGTCTAGCGTATCGACAGTCTATAATAGCACAATTTAACTAAATAATTAAGAAATAAACTTTAGTAAAACAAAACTTATTTTATTCATTTATTGCTTTATTTTTTTAAATATTTTCTTTTTCTTTTCTTATTTCTAAAATTTCTAACTCTAAAGCTCGTTTTTTTTTCTAAAAATTCATTTTCTTTTAAATATTTTTCTTCAGCCCGTCTGCTTTCATCCTCATGTCTCTTCTTATTATTTTCTAATTCTTGTAGTATCAGCTCCTGTTTCAGTTCATCAAAAGTTTTTTTCTGTTTTCCCTGTTTCGGCTTTGGGCTTTTTTTTGTACGTCATCTATGAATTCTATATCTATATTATTATTTTGCTCCATATCAGACATACGAGCTCTCTTTGGGAGCCACATTTGCTCGTCGTTGTCTAGTCCAAGGGTACTACCTGGAAATAGAAATACAATGTTATAAGTGAAATTACAAGCACATATTATGTCATCTTACTGATTAAATAAATACTATTCATTATTGGACTCTTAATAATATTTGAGTGGATAAATCATTTAAATTTAAAGTGCTAAACGGTAAGTAAAACCTATCATGACTTATGAGTTAATTATTGGAAGTAAAGACTAGAAATAGGTTGGGGGCTGACTCAAACTTTGGAGATAGTCAGTTTGAATAGCCTATCATGTAGAGGATGTCATGATGGTCATGGTTGAATAGGGGCAAAAAGTTTTCATTACACACCTAGGGGGTCAAAATGGCCAAAAACAAAAAAATTACAAATTCTTATTTCTGCTATAACTCCACCTCCTTCGGAGGTTCTTACACAGTCTTTACTTGCCGCATCCTACTAGTTTATTTAATAAAAATACATATTTGATGTAACTATGGATTATTATATCCAATCCATCTGTTAATTTTATTATCAAACACTGGATAAAAACCATACGGTAGGTGTAGGCATAAGTGGCAGGTAAAAAAATAAATAGGTATATTGTTTTGAAAGTTAAAAGCGATTCAATATTCTTTAATTTATCTATAAAACTTAAATACCAGATTTTGTATATCTGTTAGTCATGGAATATCTTCAAAATGGCTGAACCAATTTCGGCCAGAGGACTTAGCAAGGAAAGATCTTGGTTACTTTAATTCAAGTTAAACAGGCTTTTTAATAAATTGACACTGACATCACAGGCAAAAGCTTGTCATATATATAGTATTTTTTAAATCTGTTGCCATTAATAATACATTTTTTGATGTTTAACTTACCGGTAGCAATTGTATCACTGTCAATTTCTATGTTGATGGATGGTAAAACATTTGGCATGACAGCTATTACTTGAGACTCCAAAGGTCCCATATCTGACAGAGCTGGTCCTCCGCCTGTCCTTTTCCTTTGGGCCTCCAGAGTCTTGGCATCCCTGGCCTTGGTTTTTAAATTTTGCCACATCTTTTTTAATTGTTTAGTATCAGCCTGAAAATTAATAGTAGATAAATATTAGAAATGGTGTCAAATGTCAATGTTTCACATGGCACAGCTTAGAGCTATTATAGGGGTAAGTATTTAATGTAAGTATCTGTAGCAAGAATTTATAGTTCAACTTATTTGAGTGCCTCTGCATGTGCATATAGTATCAGTAAGGTACTTTAGCATAAACACGAAAATGACGCCAATTAATTCAAACGACTGGTATGAAGATATACTAAAAACATTTTAATTATTACACATATGAATTATTTAGTTAATTTTACTTACGATTTGTGTCACGTTCGAATTATTGAATAGAGAGGTAATTTCTTCCCAAGCTTCACTTTTCTTTTTAAGCGAAACGCCGTCTGTCCTTCAGTTTTCGATCACACCGATCTTGGCTTGAACTAATTGTATTAAAACTTGTTTTTCATATTCCGAGTAAGGCTTTTGTTTTTTTTTGTATTTTCCATTTTAGGGCTTCGGAGTCCGTAAGAGAATAGCCGTGGGTCAGTGGTATAGCAGGTACAAAATCCGTTGAACAGGTAGCCGTGGTCAGTCGTAAAAGAAGGTACAAAATCAGTTAAGCAAGCCGGTCGAAACTAGGGAGATATCGTTATATTTTAAAGAAAGCTAACCAAAACAACAACTATGCAGAAGCAGAACGTAGAATACGGCACAGACCAAATTATGGTGTTTATTGTGTAGCCATGGACAATTCTAATTTTCCCTTTGAGTTATTTTTAAAATATATTTTTATCGAAGTAAAAAAGCACCCAACCTTCATCAACCCTCAATCAAAATCATTTTATTATGATAAAATATTGTCAATATTTTTTTTTTCTATTTTTAAAGAAATTATAGCAGCATTATTGTTAAATTTTTAGTCTTACGATTTCCTTAATTGCATGAAGTTCTCTCTAAAGTGGCATCATTGCATTTGAAAAAATACGACAAAGTTAAAGAGTTTTCAGTTGCTCTGAGAGTGTAAAGTAATTTTGGACCATTACTTTTGTTAGGATAATATCTTGAGTTTTTCGTAAGTCGTCGATTGCGTTGACTTAGGCTTTGCTTAGCGCGCACTCAGCACGATTTAGAAGTTAGTCCTATAAATACCGACGTTGTCTTAGCTCGAAAGTAAAGTCTGAGCAAAGTCAGAGTACGGTCTATAGATCTTAGCATAAGTGTCGTTTCAGGGAGTAAAGGAGTTCGGGTATACGCTTAGGGACTCTATGAGACGCAAAAAATATTATGAAAGAAAAATTGGAAAATTGGACTTATGCGCATTACGAACAATACCATAAATATACATAGCGAATGAAAATATCCATTAAAAGAAAAAAGAGTGCATCACTAGTTTTGACCATCGGCACTTTGATGGTGCGCGGCGTCTTGTTGTCGGCGTCATCAAAGGTGTGATACTGACCTGTCAAAGAAATTGTGCAGCTATTCGAAAGTACAAGGTCAAGATACACGTGCCGGCGGCTACTATTGATATCGTATACTTAATCGTCGCCGCCGCGCCACACGCACTACATTTGACACTGTTTGATTGCCGCCACAGAGTACATGTTTCAAAGAATAAAATAAGTTTCCGGGTGCTCAGAATGGACACGAATACATTATCCTGATCTCGCAAGAAATCTTGTAATTAGATAATAGGTAGGTATCATAATAATTAATTCTAGTAAGTAATTATTATAAAATTAACTATATGGATTTATAATAATTACTGTACGAGTAAACCCGTACATTTTTATATGTTAGCGTAATTGGAGCGCGGGCTCGTGTTTGACGTCATTTTAATGCATTGTACAGATTATGTTTTCTTTTATAATAAACTCAGTACCATTCGCAAGGCGTTACAGTTAACAGTGTTTTATTTTGCATCCTACAATCTCAATATTTGAGTGGTACTCCTTAACAGCATTTAATCTTGCATTGCACTGCATTACATATTTGCATAGTTACACAAACATTTTGGTCCTTCGACTACTACCTTAGTGTTTAGTGTTTTGGTACAGTGGCGAATCGGTTCGTCTGGCCTCCCACAAGCGGGTCTCACCAGTCGAATTGAGAAGGCGCATACATACTGTGCTGAGCACACGAACGCACTAAGTGGACCCGACGCTTGGAAGGTACAGTTCCATCAGTGTTTACTTGCAGCTTACATATTCAATTAATAATTTATTATCATGCAAGCCTTACTGCAGAGACAGTTTGAAATCGTAAACGAGATCAAAAAGCTTAACACCAATTTCAAAAAGGATCCGAAGTCAAGAAAAACTAAGGAATACATAGAGAAGAGGATCAAAGATTTGGATGACCTTTGGCTCGAATTCAAAAGCAACAACGAACAATTATCGACATTAGCAGACAAGACTCACGAATATTTTACAAGGGACATTTTTTTTGTGTATGAACATTTGTACAGCAAAACGCGGGAAATGATGACTATGTATGAATATGAATCAAAGGACGAAACGACAAAGGATAATACCACCCAGGTTGACCTTGAGAAAGCTAAAGAATTGTTAAGTTTGCAGCGAACTAACTTTCGAGCATTTTCGAGAATAACTGAGAACTTAGACATAGAAAACATCGAAGAGAAATGGGAGTTAGAATATGAGTTAAGAAACCTTCAAAATCGTTGGAGCAACATCGAAGAAACTCACTTGAAGATTGACAATATTCTCGAAGGTTCCGATTTAGAGTATGACAAGGAATATGAGGAAATGGAAGTCAAGTTTAAAAACATGAATAGGTTACTGAACAAAAAAGTAACATCTCAAAACTATGTACACCTAACTACACCAAAAATAGAAATACCTACGTTTTCTGGGAATTATATCCAATGGAGTACATTTTTTGACCTGTTTAAAGAAGCCGTTCACAACAATCCTTCTATGACTAAGGCACAAAAAATGCAGCACTTAAAGGGTAAGCTTAGAGGTGAAGCCGAGCGCCTAATACAACACTTGCATATATCTTCAGAAAACTATGACTCCGCGTGGAAAATATTAGTTCATCGTTATGATAATCAGCAAGTCCTCTTTACGAAGCACATTGAAACTCTTATAAATCAACCTAACATCCAAAAACAATCATCAACAGAACTCAAACGACTCCACGATATATCAATGGAATGCATTCATGGTGTTTTCAATATGGGGATTGACACTAGCACTTGGGATCCGATTCTGGTACACCTTGTAGCAAAGAAATTAGATACAACAACGTACAGTGATTATATGGAGTCAAGAAAAGCCCCACGGGAACTACCTGATTTGGATGAGTTTATGGCGTTTTTGGAAGCCAAATTTACAGCCCTAGAGCCAATGAATAGAAAAGAGCAGATAGTCGAAACATCGAATTTTAATAAAAATAACCATGTGTCAAAATTCAAACAACGTTATTACCAAAAACCTGCAATTTATGAGAATAGAGATACATCATTTAAAAAATCATTTTATGTAAACTCCAAATTTATACCTACTTGTCCTTTATGCAAACAAAATCATGCATTGTTTCAATGCAAAAGATTCGAAGTCATGACACCTGAAATGAAATTACATACCATTTCGAAACTACACATATGCGAAAACTGTTTATACGTGCATAAATATGAATGCAATTCTGAAAAACGATGCAAGGAGTGCAACAAGAAACATAACACCTTATTGCACGACGTTTATATTACAAAGGCGGCTAATAATGCAAGTTCGGCGAACATGACGACTACGGCCTCGAAGTCGCAGGGCACGAAACCACATGTACAATCGAACCACGTGGCTGGAAATGATGACGAAATATTGCTTGCCACAATCAAGATGCAAGTAAGGGCAGCAGATGGCTCTTACATCACACTGCGCGCACTTCTGGACCAGGGGTCACAAACGTCCCTTATATCCGAAAATGCAGCGCAAAGGTTGGGGCTGAAACGTCAAAACTTCAATGCATCTGTCACCGGTATTGGTACTTTGCCAAGCAAAAGCCGAGGAAAAGTATTATTGCACTGTAAATCATTATCGACCGATTATGCATTCTCTACAGAAGCTTTAATAATGTCCAAAGTTATTAACTGCCTACCCGTGACTTCATTCGAGAACAAAAATTGGCCACACATACAACACTTGCAATTAGCGGATCCTGAATACAATATATCAAAGCCTATTGATATTCTTTTAGACGCTAAAGTTTATGCTGAAATCATCATGGATGGGTTGTTAAAGGGTTCATCATGCCAACCAATAGCACAGCAAACACAGATGGGTTGGATATTGTCTGGTTCTACGACGAAAACATTCAACTGTTATTTTACCATCAATAATATCGAAGACATTTGGAATTATTGGGAAATGGAAGACATATCGGAACATGAACGTTCATTAACTTTAGAAGAACAATTTTGTGAAGATTATTATATCAAAACGACTAAAAGATTATCAAGTGGAGTGTATGAAGTACGTTTACCCATGAAGAAAGGCTTTGAAAGGCAATTAGGTCACTCGAAACTAAAGGCTGTAGCACAGTTCAAGCAATTAGAGCGAAAGCTAGAAAAAGATCCGCAGCTATGTGAAAAGTACAACCATTTCATGAATGAGTATATTGCAATGAACCATATGAAACCGGCAGTAGAGACTAAATCTCTAGAATGTTATTTACCACATCACGGGGTCCTAAAATTTGACTCTAACACTACAAAATTACGAGCTGTTTTTAATGCATCGGAAAAAACATCGACTGGCTTTAGCTTGAATGACTTAATGGAGTGCGGCCCTAAACTGCAACGTGATATACTGGAATTATTATTAAGTTGGCGTGCTTACAAATACGTATATAAAGCAGATTGCGAAAAGATGTATCGTATGATCAAGGTACAAGAGGATGACCAGCAACTCCAGAAGATAATATGGCGGAACGAACGAGGCGCTATACAAGAATTTCAATTATGCACCGTCACATATGGTATGAAAGCTGCACCTTACTTGGCTCTCAGAACGATGCAGCAGTTAGCAAGTGATGACGCTGACGTTTACCCTGTAGCAGCTGAGATCTTGAAGAAGAGATTCTATGTTGATGATTTGATATATGGTAGCAACAAGATTGAGGAAGCAAAGCAAGCACAACGCCAATTAATTGATATATTACGAGGAGGCGGTTTCAACTTGAGAAAATGGTCCAGCAATGAACCTCGACTCCTGGAAGATTTATCTAACGACCAAATTAATGTCTCTACTGTTAACTTCAACAACAGCTCATCATCATCAACTAAAGCATTAGGGTTGCGTTGGCATCCATCCTCTGATATTTTTATATTTGACAATAAGATTGAGAATTCGCAAAAGCCCGATACAAAACGCTCCATGCTGTCAAACATATCGAAGCTTTTCGACCCGCTCGGTTGGTTATCTCCGAGTACAATAAAAGCAAAACTGCTATTTCAACGACTTTGGAGTGAGCATACGGAATGGAACCAATTATTGTCACCAGATATTCAACACGAGTGGAGTAAACTAAAGGAAGAATTAAAGAACATAAGTAAAATTAAAATTCCGAGATGGGTCGGCAATACTCAATCTTCAGTACAACTACACGGCTTCGCAGATGCGTCAGAAAAGGCTTATGCGGCCGTAGTTTACATCAAAACCTATAATGAGCATAAGGAAGCCAGGATACATCTCATAGCAGCGAAAACAAAGCTAGCCCCACAGAAGAAACGTATTACATTGCCACGGCTTGAATTATGTGGAGCTGTTTTGTTATCTAAATTGATGCAAAAGGTTATTGTTTCGATGTCATTAACTCAGGGTGTTCGCGCAAAACTCTGTTGTCGGAATCGACACCAGATGTCACTCGGCTCGGCGCAATTCCGGTTTGAAGTTCTTCCGAGCGTGGCAGTGGCGCGCGGGTCGCAAGCGAGTCAGTCATCTGCCAGATGTGCTAATGTTTGCACGCTGTTAATTTTGTGCGGGAACCGCGGAATAGTTAGGGCGTCTAGTAAATATCCTGTCTAGGAATTATAACGCGCATTCCCTGTTTGGATAGCCTTTCCCGGGACTTATTGGGTCCGACTCAGAATCTGTATAAGTGCATTCGACAATATAAGCTAGTGCGGCCTCTTTATTTAGAACTTATCTATTGCCACGCGAAACGGTAGTGACCTTTGACCCAGAAACTCCGGGCGTGTTTTGTGCGGTAACCTTATACCCCGCGATAGTTAGTGGCTTCTGTAAGCTAGTTAATAGTACGATAGAGTTAAGTGACTGGCATTGTGGTGAATCAAGAAAGTGACTGTGGATAACCTCGAAAGGCCCCCTCAAGTTGGAGCGGTGTCGACGCTCGGGCTGTTGCCGACGGCTAAGGTCTAGGTTCAATCACCATCAGTCACACCCAGATACACACCACATCACCATTCTTTCCCTTGCACTACACAACCACATGCGACCTGACCGACTCCGGAGGAACCAGTCGCCTTGGATAGAGGTAAGTGAACTCCGCCAAATTCCTTCCGGTCGACTGGCCGTAGTATAACGCTCCCCCATATATTTAGTGTAATTAGAGAACTTCCACGTGGCCTTAGGAGGCCCGACCTACGTTTGCTCGGGAAGTCTTCTGCTGATGGGCCCCGGGGGATTGGATCCTTTAAGGGAGCAACCGTAGGCCGTAACAAACTGGTAGCAGAGCGTGGTTCCGGGTTCGATTCCCGGTCGATCCCGACAATAGTGTTTGATAAACATTAAACAATTTTGGTGGCAGGGAGCGTTGGTGTGATTGGTTTAATTTGCATCTACAATCACGCCCGTCCGTAATACGTAAAAATATTTTTTTGTACGTAATAATAGAATTATTTTCCTTTGTTGCTTTGTTGCTTGCCTTTTTTTTAGTTAGAGGGTAATTTGAAAAGCCGCGCCCTAGGTTGCGCAAGCGGGAGTTTTTCTAGAGATATACGTCATGTAGGTAGATGGTTATTTTTACGTAATCGGTTAATTATCGTTGTCGGATAGTTGTAGTGGATTACTTATCGAAGGGTCGATTTCCGAGCTAGGCATTTTTTGTTGATCGACCGTGATGTGTATCTTCGTTTAT